GCCTGCCACGAGATGTGCTGCGCCTGTGAGTGTGAGAGATGTTGTGTGTGTGCTGTGGTGTGTGAGACGTTGTGTGTGAGATGTTGTTGTGAGAGATGTTGCGTGAGTGATGTTGTATGCAAGACGTTGTGTGTGGGATGTTGTCTGAGTGATTTTGTTGTGAGAGATGTTGTTGTGAGAGATGTTGTGTGAGAGAGGAGGAAGGAGGAAGGAGGAGGGGAAGGAGGAGGAGCACGGACGGAGAACGAGCGAGGCGGTGCAGCAAAAAAACAAGAACCCCACACAACAATGTGGGGAACAAGAACCCCACACAACAATGCATGACCGGAACAAGTTGCCAGAGAGCACAGTCGGTGTCTTCGAATCACTGGGCCTGGGCGGTAGACGCACGTGTATAGCTATGTGTTTCTGTATTATGCAGCACCGTAATCACACGCTCGTATGTCGTGCCATTGAATGTATGCATAGTATTGCTGAAATTTTTCCAACACCAAATACAGTGGGCCTGAAACGTTAAAGCACAGCCAAAAACAATCATGTGACCATTACATTATCTGCATTTATCACATATACTATGCCATTCCATGGCAGGATAGTTTTGGGCACAACCCCTCCAGGCAGTATATACAAATTATTGCCTTTTATTTGTTTCCAGTCTGTGTATGCCACGCATTCCAATTGCAATGGCGAACCCAATCAACTGAGGACAGAGCACATGGGAGTTGGCCAGTGCAGCCTTGCGGGCTGCGATCTTGGCACGGAGCTCTGCAATCATTGTGCTGCAGGTGCCTTTGCTTGCATGGGCCAAGTGGCGATGGGAGGGAGGATGTGGACAAAAAGAAGGGACACATTCTTGTAAAGTGTGGATGGCAACCCGTACTGGCCTGTAGTGAGAGCTATACTCATCTATACTCGGCTAGCCGGCTGGCTATATGCAACCCATATCCAATTGTCGCAGTTGTCACTTGACACCTTTTTTTGTCTGTAAAGGATCCTCGGAAAAATATGTTTTTTATAGGCCAAGCTACACAAAAGCTTGGGCTTCAAACAGACCGGGCAAGAATCAGGAGCAGGTTCAAAGGTTTTCTTGGGTTTGGGCTCAACGGGATGGGACGGTTTGTCAAGGTCATTGATCCACCTTTGGAACTCTTCAAAGTCCAGCTGGGTCTGCTGGTCTTCACCCTCGCAAGAATCATCCACAGCATCTGGTGGAATCGAGAGGGCCCTGGCCAAGTGTGCACCAGCCATGTAGGCGTCGATGGTATCCTTCAAAAAATACACAAGCGCTCTTCAAAATACACTTGGTTTGGAAAAATACCAAGAGAAAACATAACCAGTAGAAAGTCCTGTATATAGAAGGATTCATCGAAGCATGTGCACCACCTGTTTTGGGATGGATGTAAATAGCATGACCATTCATTGGGCTGATTTTAAGGCTCACCTGTTGGAACTTACCCCACAGTCCTTCAACGTAGGGTCCAAGATGAGAAGAAGTTCATGAAAACGGATATCCTGCACAGGTCCGAGCAGCAATTAATATAACTATGCTTTCGAAATCTGTGAACTTGCATGCGCGCATGAGCTCAAAAAACAGCATTGATTCATGCAGTTCATCCGTATACTGGAACGAATGGTCTTCAACCACACATGTGCGTATTCCCAACATTTCCCAACCATCAGGTTTTTGGAATCCACATGTTTTGCACCAGAAAAAGATCAGTGGTCTAAATCAATTATTTCCTGCAAATGTTCGACGGACCAAGCCTTAGTAGGCTCCTTCCGAACTGCCCTGCGCTTCACAAAGCCAAGCAGTTTCTTGCATTCCATGGATGCCCTGTAGACCATCTTGACATCGACAGGGACATTGCAATCCTCAAACAACCTGGAAATCTCCACTTGCAGAGGCTCCAGGTAGGGAAGTTTCCACTCTGGTGCATCCCGAAGACGGCAAAGAAGAGGCTTCAAGACAAAAGCATTGGAAATGCAGTTTGCCCTTGTCGGTTCACACCACTTTTGGGAAACCGGGTGAACATAGAGTGCCTTTTCTGTCCGGACTCTTTCACGGACATGTGGATCTTGAGCCCACTCTTTGGCAAGGTCAACAACTTCCATTGTATCTTGAAACAGGTGACCTCCACAAAAAGCACCTTGAGCAAAATGGCTAGAAGCGGTCATAATAATATGCGGTTGGTTGTATAGCGCCACAACTTTCCATTGCATGCATGGTGTTCTGTTTGCATGCTTTCATTCACTCTCTTGGGCTGTCCCCTAGGTGTCTGCGAGTTGCACAGCCAGCTCGTGTTCACCGACATCCCAGCTTCAGTTCGGAAAAAAAACTGGGCATCCGGGCATGGGTTCCAGTGACAGTTGGCTCCACCACCATCACGCATGACCATGAGGGTCCCAGAAGCATTGCAATCACAACTGATTGCCCCACAGTTTCCCGAGAACCATTGAAACATACAATGTTTCTGCAGGAAAGGCATATTCGAAAACCTGTTCGCGGCATTTGGGCATGGACTACTCTGCCTTTTCATTGAATAAATTTCAGCCCCGACCTGCATATAGCAATTGATAGTGGTTTCTTTACATGTTAATCCTCTCAAAATCCAACTCTGTACCTTGAGTTGGAATTCACAGCCGCGGTTTTGGGATCATCCATCACACATCCCGTGCAAAACCAATGGAGACACCGGGTATAGAGAAAAACCCGGTTTTTTTTGCTTTCCTGATCTTTTCTCCAAACCTGCAGAAAAGCAGGTTTTCACTTCTCAACCCAAAAAAAAGCAGGTTGAGAATGTAGCAGGTACTTGCAGATCTACTGTCTCCATCCCTATACTCTTGATGCTTCTTGATGCTTCTTGTGACCTCTGCACCCCCGTGGTGTCCCGACTCCAATAGGTTTGGAAAAGAAACCAAGAGCAAGGTGCTTAGCCATGCCCAGCCGAGGTGCCTATCACACTCAGCCTCCAGGTACAAGCTTGATTACTTGAGACTTGAAGAACTGAAGCGTCTTCGCAACTGCCATCCTTGCAGGTGTCCTGCAAGTGTCCAAGGTTTTTCAGCTGGCAATGCTCAACGTTGAACCAGCATTTGAAGAAAAAAAGGAACACAAGTCGCACGAATTTGAGTCTAATTCAAAGACCCAAGTCATGATCGACCATGATCAACGATGGAAAACCACATTCCAAGAGCGCCGGTTTCAATCAGCGAACCATAATGACTCATATATGAATTCGACCAAGCTCAAAGCGTCTGGACCATGGGATACTCAACATCCCCTCGGCCAAAGCGTCTGGAGCCCAGACGAGGTGTTGGTGGTAACCTGGTAGGGGCCCTCACATCCCAACTCTTCCGAGTCCTCAGAGAGCACCAGCTGCAACATCGCCCACACCATGATCTTTGCCGCCATCGCGAAAGAATTCTTCTCCAAGGGGGATACGGTCTACCGAGGTCTTCGGCCGATATGTCTGACGGAAGGAACGGTTTGGTGGCGTGAAAATCACGTCCTTCCGCGTCGCTTTCAAGGAGAACATTGCTCTTTATCTCAAAAGGGTTCAACCGGCTCCCTCTCCTTCCACCCATGGGGCCCAAATCGACGGGCTGTCCATCTGTTCCATCTGTTTCTTCTTCCGCTTCTTCTCTGGTTGGTTCTTCGGCCTTCTCCGCGCTCCGCCGCTTCGTTCGTTCGTCCTCTCCCGACGCCGAGGCGCTCGCCGCTGGCGTCCAGCACCGCGGTGGTGCGGAGCCCGGCCACGTCGCTCCCAGCGAAGGCCTCGGTGATGCTGAGCACCACCGTCTGCTCGCCTTGGGGCGTACCACGCCGGACGTTCGGCGGTACGTACCGACGCCGGCGGGCGTCGAAGAGGAACTGAGAACAGTTAGCGGCGGACGGAAGGGCAGAAGAACCAAAGAGCGAATGGTGGTGAATCAGTGGATTTCAGAGGTATAAAACATACCTGGAAAGGCGTATGAACACTTTTTTTTGTGCGAAGGCCGTATTTGGACAGAATTTATCGTATGGACATTTTAATTAACGAATTAGTGTATTTAGCCGTATGGACAGAAAAACAATACCGTACAAAAGCGTGCCCATATGAAACCCAAAGTTTATCAACATTTTATCGACAAAAAACCAATATATTTATTGATAAAACCCAATCAAACCCAATATTCGGAGGAATTCCAGAAAATTTGTCCATTTGACAAAAAAGGCCGGATGCACGGATTTTTTTTTGCGAACGTGTTTGAACAAAAAAAATGCACATTTGGATTCCCTGGTAGTTAATAGGTGGCACAAGTGACCCTAAACCCATCAAAAGAGCGATCTGGGGGGCCCTGAGTTTTGGAGGTGACCATGGGCGACCAGGTCGAACAACGACGCTCTCGACGTTCGGACGATCGTGACCACCGCCGAACATCTCGAGACGGCCAACTGTTTCCAACTGTTTCCGTCCTCAACGGCCCTGACGTCGTTTTCGTCTCGCGTCTCGCGATCCGAAGTGATCGGACGTGATCGGCATCGAAGCGTTCAGTGGTCGTTCACTCACCAGAAACCGTCGAGTTCTCCGCCACCAAGTCACCCATGATGATGGGAGGCACCACCTGCAGGTGTTTCACGGAACCGAACGGACCCGAACATGTCCCGTGCTAGAAGTATAAATAGACATACGCTATATGTGGGTCCTCATGTACTTGAAATTACAGTATTAATAATGTATGACTTCTGAACATGATTTTTCACCTGTTTTAACACGAAATTACTTTGCTAGTACTTTGAGCGACTTTGAGTTAATTACTAAATATCACAAAGTCACTCCCACCTTGAAATCATTTCCTCATAATCGGACGCACCTGGAATCTGGTGCTGCCGAAAAATACGTCCCGGCTCTCTTCGCGGATCGAAGTGATTCGGAAGCTTCCTTCGTCCGGAAGCAAAGCTGGTGTCTTTCCGTTCGGCATCCGAAACGTCACTAAAACCCGGTTTTTTGGGATCGGTACTGTGGCCAAAGTCTTGAACAAGTCCGAACCATCTTCCTTCGTTACACGCGCCCGTTTCTGTCGGCGGCGTTTCGTTCTTCTTCCGCGACGCGGCCTCGTTCTTCATCCATTCAGAGCCATACTTCAGGAGCACCGGCAAACCAATGGACACGGCGCCGTCCAAGCCATCTTCATAGCCAGGGCACATGGTACGGCAACGCTCCTCTTGCACCACCATCTCGTGGAAGTAGGTGAAACTCGGAGCAGTCGCTGAGCAGTCTGGGCAGGATTTCTCTGGGCTTCGGATTCACCCCCAAAACAAATTCCGACTCTGCGATGAAAGCTGCCTGATCTGTTGTTGTGCTTCTTGTTTTGATCTCTTGCTTTTCCCTTCCTTCCATCTGCTTTCTCATCTTTGGTGTCTTGTTCTGTGTTCTATTCTGTCCTTTCTGGCCCCAAAAACCGTCTCAACCGTGTCCCCCCCTCTCCGTCTCCCACACAAAAGGCCAAGGATCTCTTCGGGCTTCACCACACCGCCACAAAGGCCCTTGGGCGGGATTTTCAAGTGAGCTCCAGGTCCCTGCACCATGGCAATCAGTCCCAGCTCACCCATGCGCTTCCGCATGTCCTGCAAACAACGAAGCTTGATTAGCAGGGAAGCAGCCAAACTTAGTGTACTTTTACAAGTGGCTCCTTGCTTGGTGCAGTGGATTTGGCTTCGCACTCCAAGGCTTCTTCCAGAGTTTCACCGCAGAAGAACTTGCGAGCCTCCTGGAGGTTTGGTGGGGATGTGATCTGAGAAGGTCACATTTTTCCACAAATTGATTAACAAGGTTCGCGACTAGGGGCTCCTAGCATCGCAGGGGCTCCTGGCCATACTACTAGGAGCAAGGACGCTACTAGGGGCTCCTGGCCTTACTACTAGGGGCAAGAAGCTACTAGGGCGGAAGCTACTAGGGCTCCATCGCTAGTAAACTGATTAAGAAATACTTCTAAGCGCAGTGTTTGTTCAGCACAAACATGAGGGGCAATGAGTATGCACGCAATGATGGCAACAACTCCTTCATATCAAAGACGCCATTTAGACACACATTATAAATTAAAATCATTCTAATTAAGCATCATTTATCCCGGATGATCCCGGGATCCGCTATAGCGGCTATAGATGCATCTCCTGTCTCAGCTTGATGTGGGTCTCGTTGAAGTAAGGTGACTTGAAGCCCTGCAAATACCTTCGATACAAAAACATTCAAGTGCACCAAGAAATACCAAGAATATACCCAAGAAACAGGGCTTGGCCGCCCAAACGGTTTTCCTCCAGTTGTGTCTTTGGTGGTTTCAGAATTCTGCGATTTCGTCGTGGAACCTCGTGAAGCACAAAGGTCGAACTGTGGAACCAACGCTCGTCTCCACTCATCTCCACCCGTCGAGACGGGCAGAACACGCGTGGAGCCCCGGAGGGTGCCGGGTGAAGACGATGTTACTAGTAGCTTCTTGTTACTACTAGTAAGGCACTTGTTACTACTAGCGATGCACTTGTTCCTACTAGCTTCTTGTTACTACTAGTAAGGCACTTGTTACTACTA